ACACCAGAGACCTGAGCCATACCGACTTCAGAGGATCCATCCCGGAAACCATCAGCAATGCCAAGAGCCTGCAGTACCTGTAAGAGGGGGTTCTAGTGTCAAGGCAAGGCAACAGGGCATGATGAAGCATCATCCTGGCGTGCACCTGCTGCCCTTGTCACCCTGAAGCAGAATGAGAATCCGGGATTCCATCACGTGTCTAGCGTGGCCGACGGGGGCAGTTCATCTCGCGGCTATGGAGAGTGCTTTCATTCTTGCCTTTCTTTCTTTCTTTTTGTTATGGAGCATGCACCCTACTTTACCAATTTCCGAAATTCAATCTTATCTATTAGAGTGCCAATGAACATTTTCCCCTACTGGCACGTTCTTCTGTGCACCAACTCGTATGCATCCCATCCCAGTAACCTCCAGGGCCTGAAACTCAGTGGAAGTCTCCCTGGCAGCATCAGTCGCCTCACTGCACTCCAATCTCTGTATTTCTTCCCTCACCTCCCCCAACCTCCTTCCTTGCCTTCCTAAATCTCCCCCCTGTCCTCTTCCACCCCCAAGCTTGCAAGCATGTTGTTTGAACCTCATGTTGACACTTTGTTTTGTGCCCTCCCCACTTCCTAGCCGGTGCTCCCCTTTCTTTCGTAGCGCACCTGTCCGTTGCAAGCATGTAAACTCCCTTTCCCTCTCTCTGCACTGCCCCCAACATGCAGGCACATTGGGATTGAGTCGGATGACCGCCTTCCTTATAGATACCTCAACGGCCATCTAAATCCAATAGAGTGAGACTGACGGGGATGAATGGAATGGGGCTCTTGCTGCCTGCTGGTGCATGCCATGGAGAATGCCATGGTGCATGCATGATGTGTGTGAATCGCCATCAACATATTTGCAGAAGCTGTAGCAGCGTAGTAACATGGATACGGCACAGAATACTGTGTATGCTCAGGCAGTCAGAGGTAAATGTGTGACTGCACCTCAAGAACCTGATGCTTGGGAGGCTCTTGGGAAGAATCACTGGCTGATGTTCGGGATGAGCAATATGACGAACTCGTTCAAGGCGAACCGAACAGGATTTTTTTTTGGCCTAAATTGTTCGGGGCGAACGTGTTCGGTGTTCGCCCGAACACGTTCGCCGTTCGCCCGGCTCAGCTCGCCGAGGCGCGTCGAACACGAACGTGTTCGTGTTCGACACGGGCCTTCGACAAACACCAATGTGTTCGTCGACAAATAGGCCCGCGACCAATTTTTAGGTCGCGGGCCTTGGTGTTTGGGCTCAGATCTGGCCTTTCGCAGTTAGTAAAGTGCAGATCTAGCATTTTGCCATTGCTTAAGTGCAGATCGAGCAGTTCGCCGTTGCTTAAGTGCGGATCGAGCATTTCGCCGTTGTTTAAGTGCGGATCGAGCATTTCGCCGTTGCTTAAGTGCGGATCGAGCATTTCACCGTTGCTTAAGTGCGGATCTAGCATTTCGCCGTTGCTTAAGTGCGGATCGAGCATTTCGCCGTTGCTTAAGTGCAGATCTAGCATTTCGCCGTTGCTTAAGTGCGGATCTAGCATTTCGCCGCTGCTTAAGTGCGGATCTAGCATTTCGCCGTTGCACGCTGGCACTAGATGGATGAAGCAGGGCGGGACTGGCTTGGGAGGTGGGGGGAGAGAATGTGCGACGATTTGAATTTTACTCTATATTGAATTTCCCCCTGGGCGAACACGAACATGTTCGCCACGAACATGTTCGTGTTCGCCTGTTGCAGCAATTCGTTCTCCTCCTAGGGCGAACGGCGAACACCTATTTTCACTCAAGTCGTTCGCCGAACCGAACACTGTTCGGTTCGGCAGAAGGCCATGTTCGTCAGGGGGCGAACACGAACATGTTCGAGTTCGCCCCCTGCTCATGCCTAGCTGATGTGATGCGAACCACATGGTTCTGAAGCACACAGTGCAGTGCTGCAGGGCAGCTCATGTGACGACGAGGCCGTCCGTGTGTGCACACCTTCCATGCCGCAGCTCGCACTCCACCTTCCTTACCGCAGCTCACCGCCTTCTATTCTCCTAACATGCTCAATTCCACGTGCTCACTGCTGCATGCACCCACCCAAATGGGGCTTCTGCTCCACCGTTTCTGCTGTGACTACTGCTGCAATTTGAGAATTATCAAATGCCTCCTGCGCGATGGTTCTACTGTGGCGCCCTTTTACGCCATGGGCAACACGCAGCCCACAGAAAGCTAATCACTCCACCCCCTGGCCCGCCTACTTTCACCCTGCCATCTGTCGCTCTCGCAGTCCTCTATCCATTCAGCCGTACTTGCCTTTCCCTGTGATGCAAGGCTCTGTGGACGACCTCTCCTGTCTCGCTCCACTCACTCGCCTCCAGAACCTGTATGCTTCGATTCTTCCTAGCCCGCCTTTTCCCTTAATCTAACTCATCCCTACCCGCCCTCCCCTTCCCTCTGAATCAACTCATCTCTACCTATTCTCACTCATTTCTACCCGCCTTTCATCCCCTCTCACTCTTTCCTACCCGCCTTCGCCTCCCCTCTCACCCCCCACTTACCCGTCTTCCCCTCCCCTTTCACTCATCCTTATCTGCCATCCCCTCTTTCGCTGCTAACACATGTTCCTATTCAGCGTGCAACGGTCAGTCCAGCAGCATAGTTCATGGATTTAAGTCCCCCTGCAGATCGCAGCACATCCAAGGGGCTCGCTACCTGCTGCTGCCCCTCGCCCGTGCTTCATTCACACCTGCACATTGAACACAGCACTTGCCCGTGCTTCATTCACACCTCCTCACTCGCTCACATTCTGTTTGCTCCCCAACTACCGTCTGTCCACTTTACCAGTGTCTTTCACCGTCTCTCCTGCATGCCTGCCTCTCTCTCTTCCATCCTCACTTCTCCTCAGCGCTCTCATGAGTCTCAACCTGACTGCTGGAGATCTCCCTTTCTCTCTCTCTGCGCTTACTTCACTCAAGCACCTGTAAGTCTCTCGAGTATCTTCCTTAAGCGAGTGCTTGGTATAGTTGTTATCTCATATTTTTTATGCTTTGTGTTGGCAATCACCAAAGTGCAACCATGGTGCTGGTGTGGCATCATCTTTCACTTGCTCCTGGTTAGCCTTGGGTATGTGCTTGCTCGTTGCGCGCGTTGCATTGCATCTCATCACTGTATGCTCATGAAAAAGGCACAATCAGCAGCAACGAATTTCTTTCGTGCTTACGTAAGTTGAAATAGGAGCGAGCGAGCACGTTTCTCTTTCAAGGTCCCATAGCTCTAATTATGGAACCATTAAGACATTCTCATGGTTGATCCGGCAGGGGCCAGCAGGCAGGAGCTTGGGGGTGCGCTCACCATCTCTTCTCTCCCTTCTTTCCTGTATTGCATAGCAGAGACCTCAGTTTCCTTCCCATCACCCGCTTGCCGCAATGGATCGCTTCACTCACTACGCTCACTCATTTGTGAGTGGCACCAAGAGCCTCTCGCCCCACCCCGCCCTGACTATCATCACCGCTTCCTGTTGCACCTTGCCCGTGCTTCACTTGGGATAAAGAGGCCAGCGCACGTCCGCTCTGCGGGTTCCACTTCCTCTCTCTCCCTGCACCACCTGTGATTCGCTACAGCCTTGCCATGCCACTTGCGCCCTCACTCTCTGCTTCCATAGCTTGCTGCTGGAGCGATGCCAATGAAATCGCCTCAAGCTCGCACCCTGACGGGTCTGTGCCGCATTGAATCGACGGTGTTCGACGGCGTTCCCTGTGCTGCCCTGCGCCATTCTGCCCTGCATTGGTCCACATGTGGTTAGGGGGATGAACGATGGTTAGGGGGTTTGATCAATGGCTAGAGGGGTGGAACATTGGCTAGAAAGAGAGATTCAGATGTACGCTAATGCCACTTGCAACGCTCCCCCTGCCGTGCCTCTCCACCAACTGGAGTGCCCCGTGACTCCTCTACCTTCCTGCCCTTGTCTGCCCTGCAGAGACGTCACTGGAAAGTTACACGTCCACCGCTCTGCACCTTTTCCCCACCAAATGGATTGCTCTCACAAGGCTGGAAACGCTGTGAGTGAGCCATCCGCCATGTCCACAACACATCAGCTTGGTTTGACACCTGCTGCTGCTCGCCTCACCATCCAAAGCCATCCGTTCCTTACATTGCCTGATGGGCCACTCCGCTCAGCCCCGCTCTGTTGCCCTCCAGCTGCCAATGCATGCGCCCCTCCCCTCCTCTCACCCCTCCCCTCCTCTCGCCCCTCCCCTTGCACCTCCAGGCGGGCCGGTCTGAATGGCTTCACTGGCTCTATCCCCTCCACCATCTCCGCCCTCACCGCCCTCACCATCTTGTACGCCTCCCCTTCTCATCCTCTCTCCTCTTCCTTCCTCTCTCCCTTTCCCATTTCCTCTCCTCTTCCTTCCTCTCTCCCCTTACCATCCTCTCCCCCCTTCCCATCCTCTCTCCCCTTCCCATCCTCTCTCCATTTCCTATCCTCTCTCCCCTTCCCATCCTCTCTCCCCTTACCATCCTCTCTCCCCTTCCCATCCTCTCTCCCCTTCCTCTCTCCCCTCACTTCCTCTCTCCCCTTCCTTCCTCTCTCCCCTTCCTTCCTCTCCTTCCCCGTCCGTCCATGGGAACCCCATTAGAAATGCAGTGGTCGTATACGCCAAAGCACCAGGTTGTGAGCACCAGGTTGTGAGCACCAGGTTGTGAGCACCAGGTTGCGAGCACCAAGGTGTCAGATCCAGCTGAATAATAGATTCCGAATAGAGCTCTTGCACAGGCAGTTCATTCCATGATCACGGTTCATCCAGTGATTGCAATTCACCCAGTTAAAGCGGTTCGTCTGGTGAAAGTGGTTCTTTCTGTGAAAACACTTCTTCCCGTGAAAGCGGTTCACTCAGTGAGAGTGGTTGTTCCTGTGGCCATTCCCCCTCCTCCCTCCCCTCCTCGCCATGGCCCCACCAGGGACCTCTACGGGAACAACATCTCAGGGAGCATTCCCGCTGGCATCAGCGAGCTACCTAGATTGCATGCCCTGTAAGCCCCTCACATCACATCACATCACATCACATCACATCACATCACATCTCCCCCTTTGATTCCCACACAGGTTGCTTGGCTTTAACAATCTCACCGGCGCCATTCCTGACATCCTCGCACATCCTTTCACTTGTGAGTCTCCCAGGCCCGCCACGCCTGGCATGAGCTCACGTATGGCGTGGTTTGGATTGCAATGCACCTCCATGTGGCACCTTGCATTGCATGCTGAGTCTCAACTCCACCAAACAGATTGAGGTGCTGGAGGCTCTTGGGCAGTCTCTCTCTCACCATGCTTTCTCATCTCCGTGTGGCAACTTCAAGCAGACGCCCCTTGAGATCCGCCTATTGTTACCTCAGCAATGCATAAACGCCCTTTTGATTAAGCATGTAATCGTTAGGTTGCGTTGCGTTGCGCTGCGTTCCCAACAGCCCAAGATTGGCATTCTGCCGTACTATCGTGCTTCCATATTTTGTAAAGCTTCTGATATTCCACCAAGGCTACACTCGGGCATGACATTGCCGTATGTTTCACAGCCCTGACTCATGTTCCTCCAGTGCAAGAGCTCTGTACCACATCGCACACCCCCCTGGAGTGTGGCAAAGAAGCATTCTCGCACCTATCTCACCGTGATTTTTCACATCTCCTCCACATCCCCTCCCCTCCACATCCCCTCCCCTGCACGTCCCCTCCCCTCCACATCCCCTCCCCTCCACGTCCCCTCCCCTCCACGTCCCCTCCCCTCCACATCCGCTCCCCTCCACATCCCCTCGCCTCTGCCTGCCCTCACTGCGTGCAGAGACCTCTCCCACAATCAGCTCACCTCCATGCCTTCTACCCTCAATTGGGGGGGGCATTTGTAAGTCTTGGGTGATTGACATCGCATTGTTCTATCTTTTGTGTCATGTTTTTGATGCCTTGTTCCAGAGTCGAAGAACATTAGCCTGAGCCACCTCCTCCCTCAGCGTTATCATTCCATGCCTTGTCTTGCCATGCCGTGCCTTGTCTTGCTATGCCGTGCCTTGTCTTGCCATGCTGTGCCGTCCCATGCTTTGCCGTGCCATGCTGTGCCATGCCACATTACCCCTTTTAGCATGGAAGAGAGCCGAGCATGCAAGCGGGATGGCATGCTCCTGGCTATGGGATGGTGCAGGCAGCACGGAGACGGAGGTGGAAGTTTATGCGGCATGCAGTGCACATGAATCATGTGCCTTGCATCATGCCATGGCCCTTGGGTCACTAAATGCTCACTCCTCACTACAGCGATTCCCTTCTCGGACATTCAGTGCATGCATGTTACCATCATCTCACTCCCTTCCACCATCGCCCATTCAACCTCTCCAGTTCCATGGCTCACAACCAGCTTCAAGGTCCCCTTCCTTCTGCCCTCGTTTCCACCGATTTCGTTACTCTGTAAGCGCACCTTGAAGTTGCTTGGTCCCGGTATGGAAGGAACGAGGGAGGCAAGGGCGTGTGCTCAAGTTGTCTCTTGATTGATTTCCATCAGAACGACAGCGATGCAGATTATTTATGTGCAATCGTAAACATTCCCTTTCCTACACACTGCTGGTCATCCCCTCATCCCCATCCCATGCAACCCATGCCTCCACACAGTGAGCTGCAAGGCAATGCATTCTCTGGCTCGCTACCTAACTTTGCTTTGTGGAAATACCCTTACCTTGAAATACTGTGAGCTCACTGCCTTGTTCTTATCCTTCTCAACCGATGCTCATCTATGTCAGCCCTTCATGTGCCCTATGGATTTCCTTCATGTTTACTCCCCCATTTTCACAAAGACAGATCTGATCTAGCAGCCACGAGCCACATCTGAACTAGCAGCCACATACCTAGCATCGCATAGTTCTGAGTGGCTGGAAGTCACTAGAATATTTAGCGAAGTTACACTTTCCCTTGGATCCTCATTCCCCTCGCCTGCGCCCATCCACCATGTCCCCTCTTTACCCTTCCCACAACCGCCCACTACCACCATGCCCCACTCAATCCCCAGCGACGTCAGCGACAACCAGCTCAGTGGCTCCCTCCCTGACTCCATCACCCGCCTTACATCGCTGTGGAAACTGTGAGCCTTGCATTGCTCTACCGACTGTGAGCCTTGCTCCATCTCTCTTTGAGAATAAGGAAGCGGTGCTGTTGAGGGGATGTTTGAGGAAGCACAAACGCTACCTTGAGAAACACCTTGTCTGGGCCCAGCACCTCTGACAGCATTAGCCGAGGTAGCACTTTTTTCTGCATTCCACCATGTGAAATTCACTAAGGATCACTGCAGACATTGTTGCAAACAGCTGATGCACTCTGGTTGCTGGCATACACGTGTGGCATGGCATGGCATGGCGTGGCAGGGGGCTTGGAGGCAACACTCTGAGTGGCGTCATACCTGCTAGCCTGGGCGGACTTACCGATCTATCATACCTGTGAGTAGCACAACCATTCCCCATCCACCACAAGCCTAAGGTGACTGCTCTCCTCGCCCTGCTCTTACAACTTCCATCCTTCCTGCCAGGGTCTCACTATCACTTGCATCGGGAATCCTCCTATTTTTCCCCCCTGGATTCGAACTCAATGACAGCATAGTGGTGTTGAGTTGGCTGGCCTCTTTTCTCCTTCCACTCATCTGTGCCACATGCTTCACAAGCCCAAACTGCCTCTCACGTAGAGTTCTAGATTCAGTTTTGTATGTAAGCCAGTAACCATTTAACTCCGCATTCACATGGCAATCGGTATTGGACCGAATGCTCACAGCAATACCTCAAACTAGCCTGGTAATTGCATGTATTTTCTTATTGCACTCTAGTTTCAAGTCAATTTCTGCCCATGAGTGTGATTTTTTTCCTCAATTCTCCAATCCTTTTCATCCAACACTCACCCCCAGGAACGTGTCAGGCACGGGGCTGACCTGCCCTGCAAACGGCAGCAAGTGCCTGGTGAAGCAGAGCAACACCACTGGCTTCTGCCGCCTCTGCTTCTCCTTCTGCTCCTCCTGCACCCCCCTTGCTTGTAAGTCTCCATGCTGCAGTGGCTGCCCACACACACACGCACGCATAAGAACGATGCCACACCGGCTCCAATCAAACTTTCCAACAACAGGTGGTTGGTGGAATAGGTGTGCTTCACAGAGTCTGATTTAACGTTCCAATCTATGTCTGTGCCCACATCCCAGTGTCGGCGCTCACAGAGGATGCAGCATGGCCAGCACCGGTGACTGACGCACCAATGTGGGACACAAAGGAAACAGCATGGCCAGCACCGCAGGCACGATCGGCATCCGGCCCTCGCACGCGCATTGATGCTTCCATTGACCACTCTACTGCTGCTGTTGCCGCCATCTTGCTCCTGGTGTTCGGGATGTGAAGCGTAGAGTTTTGACGTGGCGGTTCCGTATCGATAGTTGTGGGTGGGTGACTTGGGGTAATGAGACCCCCAAGTCTGGAATAGTATACTCGGGGTGATCTTCAAATATACCGTATGTGTTGAGAGATTGCAGTAATCCATTAGTATGCTAGTGAAGGTCTGGATTTTGTGGCTACTTTTCAGCTTGCGCCTGGAATATATTTGTTGTGAGTCGGAGATTTACATGCTAATCACGTTTAGTGTCAAGTCAATGCACATGTATATGGTAAACCCCCGTATATAAGACCAAAGGGTCTTATGATAATCAAACCTCAAAAAGCTGGGGGGACGTTTACGTTCCTCCGTAGATGGATGGCGTCCGTCAGACTGCTGAAACTACTGTATTACCGTCATCGCCCGGATATAAGACATATATGTCTTATCTCGTACACGAGCAAAAATGCTTGGGTTGTCTTGTATTTGGGACGGTTTAGGGTATCTTATAAGTCTTATAAATGGACAAAGATCCGTTCAGAAGATACCCCCTCGTTATGCAATTGCCCCTAACCCCTACACTTGCATAACCCGTACACACAAATAGGTGTCTTATAATGAGGCTAGCATGTTTATAAGAGACACACGGATAATAGACAACCCCTGTCTACTATTCAACACTGTCTACTATCCGGGCGATGACGGTAGATGCAGGAGGAAGAGATTGCAAGGAATCATTACGTGTGAATGACTTGGCACTTGCAAGGAATCAGTACTAAAAAATCATTTTCAATTCACAAATTTTTCTAGGCGGCTAAAAAAAACTCAATTGAAAATTAGAGTGAGAGTGAATTCAAGGAAGCAATGTTAGGAGAATTTCGTAGGCATCTAAAAAAATATTGTTTAGGTCAGGGCTTACGTTTCAAAAAACGCCTCCTTGATTCTGACCAACATATATATATATATATATATATATATATATTTTTTTTTTTTAATTTAGTCTGACGGCACTTCGACCGCATAATGGCTAGTCTGAGCCTGTTGAAAAACATATGTGTAAAAAAAACGCCACTCTAGGCCTTCAGTATCGGGGAAATAAGATCAGAGTATGAAGAAACATGAATGAAATAACTAGGAAACAAGTGGGTACAAGTAGGAACCTAGAAGTGTTGTACCCTATAGTGTCTACCCCACTACAGCCTAGATAGAATATATCATATAAGTTTGACACAACCCCATAGGCAAAGTCGGGGAGAACAAGGGGTCACAAGACCAGTCAAGCAAAGCAAAGCAAAGCAAGCTCAGGGTGGATCACAACGTCACCACACATTCCGAGCACAGGTTCAAAGGCCAAAAGGCCAGTTCACATGCAGGTGTCAGGACTTATATGACTAAGCCTATGTAGGCTATAGTGGGGTAGCACATATGGGGTACAACACATTTCTAGGGTTTGTACTTGTACCCAATCTTTCCCCTAGTCAATCCATTCCCTCGTAATTATCACATGGTATAGAGCAGGTTCCCTAGTGGGAACGTTCCTAGGGCCCACCACTGAAAATCGATTTTTTTTTTTTCCTGCCCGGAGCGCGCTTCGCTCCTGCCCGAGTCGCGCCGCGCGTGCCTACCCTCCCGTCGCGTCCCCTGCCCTTAGCGGCCCGTCGCGCCCTCTTACGGCCCCGTAGCGGCCCCTCTCACGGCCCCTCACGGCCCCTCTCACGGCCCTTCGCGGCCCTTCAGGCCCCGTCGCCGCCCTTCGAGGCCCCTCGCGGCCCCTCTCACGGCCCTTCGCGGCCCCTTCGCGGCTCCCTCGCGGCCCCTCCGCCGCCCTTCGCGACCCCTCTCACGGCCCTTCGCGCCCCCTTACCGCCCCTCGCGGCCCCTTCGCGGCCCCTCGCGGCCCCTTCACGGCCCCGTCGCCGCCCTTCGCGGCCCTGTCGCCGCCCTTCACGGCCCCGTCGCCGCCCTTCGCGGCCCCTGGCGGCCCCTTCTCGGCCCCGTCGCCACCCTTCGCGGCCCCTCACGGCCCCTTCGCGGCCCCTTCACCGCCCTTAGCGGCCCCTACTCGGCTCCCTCACGGACCTGCCGCCCCGCCGTCGCTGCCCCTGCAGCGGGAGACCGCCACCACCGGGGCCGCGGCCACAGCAGCCGCCAACAGCAACATGTTACGATGCGATCTTAACTGGTAACCGGATTTAAGGAGGGCCTAGGCTTAGTAGCCTAGGCCAAGCTATTGTCGAGGTCAAGGCCAAGGGAGTGTCGATAGAAATTGACCAAACAAGTTTGCTTCACTAAAGCAAAGCATACAAGATATAGTCGAGAAACACAAGCAAGAGGTGCACCACCAACAGCAAAGAAACAATAACTACAGTAACTACAGCAAGCAGGATATATCTTAATATAACTTTGACACACCCCTTAGCCTGCTTGCAGTAGGAACTAGAGTAGTCAACACCCCTGAACGGGTATAGCTGGCGCAGTGGGAGACGGCAGAGGGGTACGTGAGGGGAGGCGGCGA